CCTTGGGGCTAGATCCATGGCAATGTACACAATAAAAAATAAGTTAAATTTGTAAACAGATCACTCGACTCCAGCTAAGATTTTTTTCTTAATCATACTTGTGCAACTCCAATCGACACATGCCACTCTTGCTCATAAAGTCCTACTAGGCGCGAGCACTAATTATTATTATTTTCGTAATTATTTACAATTTCTAATGCTATAAATTTTTTTTTTCATTTGAAAAGATAAAAGAATTATTTTACCATTAAAAAGTACATCTAATAGTATTCGAAATCGAATGGGTCTACTATTAAATTCTCCAATGTTGGCTTGATTGTTAAATGCTTCCCTTGGGGCTAGATCCTTGGTAATGTACACATTAAAAAATAAGTTAAATTCATAATCCGATCACTCTGCTCCAGCTAAGATTTTCTGCTTGATCGTACTTGTGCAACTCCAATCGACACACGTCACTCTTTCCCACAATGTCCTACTAGGCGAGAGCACTAAACAATTGTTTTTCATAATTGTTTACAATTTCTAATACTCTAAATCTTTTTTCTTTTGAAAAGATAAAGGAATTTTATTACAATTTACATCGACATAAAGACCGTTAAAAAGTACATCAAATAGACATTGAAATCGAATAGGTGTGCTAACAAATTCTCCAATGCTTGCTTGATTATTGAATGTTTCCCTTGGGTCTAGATCCTTGACAATGTACAGAACAAAAAATAAGTTAAATTCGTAACCCGATCACTCCACTCAGCTAAGATTTTCTGCGTGATCTTACTTGTACAACTCCAATTGACACACGTCACTCTTGCTCACAGAGTCCTACTAGGCGAGAACACTAAACATTATTTTTTTCATAATTATTTACAATTTCTAATACTCTAAATCTTTTTTCTTTTGAAAAGATAGAGGAATTAAACTACAGTTTACACTGACATAAAGACCGTTAAAAAGTACATCAAATAGCCATCGAAAAAGAATATCTAGGCTATCAAATTCTCCAATGCTAACTTGATTATTGAGTGATTCCCTTGGGGCTAGATTCTCGGCAATGTACACATTAAAAAATAAGTTAAATTCATAACCCGATCACTGTACTCCAGCTGAGATTTTCTTCTTGATCATACATGTGCAACTCCAATCGACACACGTCACTCTTGCTCACAGAGTCCCACTAGGCGAGAGCTCAAAACATTATTTTTTTTATAATTATTTGGAATTTCTAATACTCTAAGGGAGTGTTTGGTAGGCATTTTTATGTAAAAATGCATTTTAGAATAGTAAATTGATGTGAAATGTGTGATTGAGAAATAAGGAAAAGTTTTTTATTCACGTGTAATATTATTTTAATAAAGAATGTGTGGTTGAAAAGAAGAGAAAAAAATGCATTTTGAAAAAAATGGCTACCAAACGAGGCCTAAATCTTTCTTATTTTGAAAAGATAACGGAATTATATTACAGTTTACATCGACATAAAGACCGTTAAAAAGTACATCAAATAGCCAACAAAATTGAATAGGTCTGCTTTCAAATTCTCCAATGTTAGCTTGATTATCGAATGCTTCCCTTGGCGCTAGATCCTCAGCAATTTACAGATTAAAAAATTAGGTAAATTCATAACCTAATCACTCTACTCCAGCTAAGATTTTCTTCTTGATTGTACTTGTGCAACTCCAATCGACACACGTCACTCTTGCTCATAGAGTCCTACTAGGCAACAGCACAAAACATTATTTTTTCATAATTATTTACAATTTCTAATACTCTAAATCTTTTTTCTTTTGAAAAGATAAAGGAATTATACTACAATTTACACTGACATAAAGATCGTTAAAAAGAACATCAAATAGCCATTGAAATTGAATCGGTCTGCTATCAAATTCTCCAATGTTGGCTTGATTATTGAATGCTTCCCTTGGCGCTAGATTCTCGGCAATATACACATTAAAGAATAAGTTAAATTCATACCTCGATCACTCTACTCCAGCTAAGATTTTCTGTTTGATTATACTTGTGCAACTCCAATCGACATACGTCATTCTTGCTCATAGAGTCCTACTAGGCGAGTGCACTAAACATTATTTTTCATAATTGTTTACAATTTCTAATACTCTAAATCTTTTTTCTTTTCAAAAGATAAAGGAATTATATTACAATTTAGACCAACATAAAGACCGTTAAAAAGTACATCAAATAGCCATCGAAATCGAATAGACCTACTATCAAATTCTCCAATGCTGGCTTGATTATTGAATGCTTCCCTTGGGGATAGATCCTCGACAATGTACACATTAAAAAATAAGTTAAATTCATAACCCGATCACTCCACTCCAACTAAGATTTTCTTGATCATACATGTACAACTTCAATCGATACACGTCACTCTTGCTTACAGAGGTACCGCTATTTTATCCTTGTGTACAAACCATTCCCCATGGGTATGCTAGAACAGTCCCATAGATAGCAGCCTGCATTCCTCAGAGTGGACGAGACGTTCACTCAATATGGAATAACAACGATAATTGTGTGTCTATGTTGGTTTAGAATATGAAGTGCAAGTGCAAAATGTATGTTTTTCGAGATTAACAAGATAAATGATCACTGACAATTGTCTAAAACAAAAAGTAACATATCTACCAAAATTGCCTTGTCGATAGCATCATTCCTTCCATCGGGAACGTCTAACACCCCTCTCTTATTCGCCTCAAAATTGCTTTAAAATCTCTGTATACTAAAAATACGGTCACTGTTCAATTGATTTTAGATGGGCTTGTAAACCGAAATGAATGTTGCCAACAATAAAAAACCTTTATCCCCAATAATAACTATTTTCAAGCACAAATTAAATACAGTTAAAATCAAAATAATTTTAACTAAAATAATAGACCTAAATAACAATAAGCAAACTAACAATATGCTAAAAAATTACAAAGGGAAAAATAATTTTCTTTTAAATCACACAAATTATGCCCAAAAATATTGTAAATATCCATAATTCATCTTTAGCACACAAGTTTAAAAAAAAAAAAAAAAAAAAAAAGGAAAAGCATTTTCAAGTTGAGAGTAAAAGATGAAAGTGAACCTCAAAAAATTAAACCCTAAACCCCGTAACTATTTCTGGGCACAAATAAAACTCAGTGAACAAACAACCCCAAAAACCTAAAATACTCAACCCAAATTAAATTTACTAAAGAAAACTAACAAAAAATAAATAAACCAAATAAAAAAAAACTAAATCACACGAAGAATAGCCAACATCTGTCTCAAAATGTAGTTTCATCAAGTCAAAAAAAAAAAAAAAGCATTAACAAATTGAGAATAAAAAATAAAAAGAGACACCGAAAATAAAACCCTAAACCCAATTTGCATTAACAAATTGAGAATAAAAAATAAAACGAAAACCAGAAAATAAAACCTAAACCCCAATTATTGCCATTTCCAAGCACAAATGAAATTCAATGAACTCTAGAAACTAAAAAACTCTACCAAAATCACAATTTTCTAAAGAAAACTATCAAAAAAAATATCAAAACAAATTTCTTTTTGTTATATCACACGAAGAATACACAAGACTCCAAAAATATGGTAAATTTTATTTCAATCTCTAAAACCTATAAGACTACACCTATATTAAAAAAATTTAAAGAAAGATAACAAAACAACAAAACTAAAACAAATACATTGTCTTTTAAATCACACGAAGAATATCCCAAATACGTCCAAAATTACACTAAATTCAATTTTTGCACTTCAAATCAAGGGCGGAGCTTGGGGACATATTTTTTGAAAATATTTTAATATTTCTTGCAAAACCTTGGAGATCCACCCATTCTTTAAGTCACTGACAACACGGTAAAATGGAGAGAAAAAAAGAAATAGAAAAAAGAAAGAGATAGAAACGGCATTACCGTTTATATGGAGAGAGAAATATAGCTTGTTCGATAGTAATTATAAGAATTGATTTTTTGACCATTAGAGAAAAGTAGGTTCCACCTGTGAGTGAATAAGTAAAAAATGACAGTTGGAATAGTAAAATAACGAAAAAATTTTGATTTTTTTGGGAGAAAAATTGCTACCAAACGGGCCCAAATTATCGTTCTTCGCCAGTTTGATGCTTCGCGAAGGCGACAAGTGTCCCTAGACTCTCTCTTTCATGTCTTGTTTATTTATTTTTCAAATTTTGAAAATCTTGGTGGGCTATTTTTTATGCGACTAAACGATTAGCCAGAAGTATTACAAATAAGGTCCCCAACCTGTTCAAATGGTATCAAGTTGGTCCTAAAACATTCATTTTTTAACATTGAAGTTCCTAATTGACAATTTTATTACACCCTTTCTTTTATTAAAAAAAACTCAACTTCTAAACCCTTTTAATTTAGCTAAAAATTATTGATAAAAAAATTGTATTAAAATCAATAATTAAATTTAATCACATATTACACACTACTAGAAAATGCGGCTTTAGCGATGGAAAGTTTCATCTCTGAAGGCAAATATTCCGTCAGTAGACCTAATTGTCGATGAAAATTTTCCGTCGACACAAACCATTGGTGAAAGTCATGTCAGTAGTTTTTTCGATGGAAACATAACCGTCGGTGATTATCGATAGATTTGCCTTCAAATACATATCCGTCAAAAACATCGACGGATTTGGATGAATGTTATTAGCGTCAAATATAGCGATGCCTTAGTTCAAGGGAACTACCAATAGATTTATTTCATTTCTATTTCCGTTGGTAAATTCATATGGATATTTTCATTTCTATTTCCGTTGGTAATTTACCTACAACATTTCCTTTGCACATTTTCGTTGGTAATATATACCTACAGTATTCCCTAATTTTGATGAAAATTTCCTACAAAAATAGATTTGATGCAAATTTGCTTAAAATTTAAAGAAAACGGCATAAATTGTTATATTGATTTATTATTGTAGTGAATTTAAATTATTAAAATATACACAAAAAAATACAGAATTACGAGTAATTTGATTTGAATTCTTCATTTCATAGATTCAAACTACAAAAAGATTTAAAATAGTTACTACGAACTTGCGTTCAACAGAAACCTTCCGAAGATGTATCAAATTATATCCTTGGAACATATAACAAAATAACAAAAAATAGTTCATAGGCCAACTAATATAGACATTATCGAGGCTTTGAAGATCATTGTGAGAGTTTAACAATGAGATTAAGGAGTCTGGCTTCCATTGATCCTACTCATGATCATTTTTTCAAACTCTATACGCTTCCTCTCGTCTTCATGCCTCTTTTCTTCCATTTCTTTTTCAAACTCTATATGCTCCCGCCTTACCTCTTCTATCTCTCGATGCATATCATCTTTTTCCTTTGTTAGCTCATGCAAGAAGATTGATGAGATTAAGGAGTCTGCCATCCATTGATCCTACTCATGATCATTTTTTCAAACTCTATATGCTTCCTCTCATCTTCATGCCTCTTCTCTTACATTTGTTTTTCAAACTCTATACGCTCCCGCCTTACCTCTTCTATCTCTCGATGCATATCATCTTTTTCCTTTGTTCGCTCATCAATCTTCTCGCAAGCATTGTGAATATGCTGTTTTAAGCTAACATCTCCATCATCATACTCCATAGATGGAACAAACTTAGATCTAGAAGATGTACTTGAAGCCAATAGAGAAGTACCAAGACCATACAAATGGTTACCTTTACTTGGGCCTTGGGTTGCTTCACACCACAATTCAATATCAATATCAGGTTGTGATAATAGCTCTAAACCATGCTTTAACTCCATAGAAAGCTCATACTTTTCCTACAAAAACAAATATGTCATAATCTATGCTATATGAACATGTAATAGAAATATATTTTATAGATACTTACACAAACAAGTCATGATTCATTATCAACATATTCTCCTTGTCCCTTGTTTCGCTTATGTACACATTTGAACAACTCTAAAGCATGTGGTGGTCGACCTAATTCTTTGCGCTATAAACCAACAACAAATAGATCATAGTAGATCATATATTCACCAATTTATATATTAAACAAATAAAGTAAGCAAAAACATACACGTTTAATTAGTTGTGTATCAAAAACATTCAAAGAGACCTACCATTTTATACTCGTTCACAACAATTGTTATCAAACCGAATATGTGCTTAGTCACTGTTCCTGATTTATGCGTTAGCCGATTATCGTGTTCAGATTTGGACTTTTTCTTCCATTCATCATTGTTCCATTTTTTTCTACAAGATCATTCCAATGCTCAGGGCTTAACCACTGTGGTCCATGTCCCTTCCAACAACAAATATATCATAGTAGATCATACATTCACCAATTTATATATTAAACAAATAAAGTAAGCAAAAACATACACATTTAATTAGTTGTGTATCAAAAACATTCAAAGAGACCTACCATTTTATGTTTGTGCACGGCAATTATTATCAAACCGAATATGTGCTTAGTCACTGTTCCTGATTTATGTGTTAGCCGATTATCCTGTCCAGATTTGGACTTTTTCTTCCATTCATCATTGTTCCATTTTTTTCTACAAGCTCATTCCAATGCTCAAGGCTTAACCACTATGGTCCATGTCCCTTCCAATCAACCGCATCTTTAGAACCACATTTTTTTTTCTTTTTTCTTTTTTTTTGTGTCTCTCTACCTCACAAAACATGTCCCTAAGTTGCACCTTTGAGGCAACTAACCATACTATCTTCACCTCCTCTTGCTTTTCTGCATCCCAAGTCTATTTATTCTAATATAATAACAAGAATTACATGAGAAATAAATCAGTGATAAGAAACACAAAACTGTAGCTTTTTTTGTTTTATAACCAGTCACATGAAGGAGCAAATATTTGTTCTTCACTTAGTTTAGCTTTATTATATAAGGTTCGTTAGATTTTTTCTACGTTAGCAAAACTTGACAGACTTGCATTTGACAACATATAGAAAAATTGTTTTGTGCATTTGATTTATCTAAGTCTCTTTACAGTTGCGTAAGTATGCATTTGCTGTGGATTTTATAGTAAAAGTGTGTGTGTAAATAAAAATTAAAGACAAACATCTTGTGAATAAACTTCTTGGTAACCAAACTACCATTTCGAACAATTTAAAACTCTCATACACGAAAAAATTCTAGATCAATAATTTAACAGCAAGAGAAGGACATGGAATAGATAAAGGAAGAACTGAACACACCATGTTAGTGTTGTCATCTCTGTAAGTTTCAATTTTCACCAACTTGACATTAGAATCCAACTAAACTAGTGTTGCTCAAAGTTATGATGCTTCGAAAGGGGTCGGATAGGATAACAAGTAATTGTACTATGTACTCTGCTACCAACTAAATTTCTAGATGAAACTCATTCACAGACAAAACACAAAAATAAATATGACTCATAGCATCATGATATTAAGTGCATTTTGAAAGCTGTTCAATTTTCACAACTTAATCACACAAAAATTCCAAAAAATCTCATTTGCAATCCAATATATACTGAAAAGAGAGAACTAACTAGTACTGTTGAAAATTCTGATGCTTCAAAAAGGGTAGGATATTATAACTATAATGCATCAACAGATTTTACAACACAACTGGTACAATGAATGGTCAAAAAAACCTCAAATTGTTTCCAAAAGAGCGTTCTTGTTGCCTTTGGTACTGCATGAAAGGTTAAGTAAGGCCCTCCAAGACATCGTAGCACTAATGTCACATGATGCGAATACGGTAATAAACCCGCATTCAATTAATTCTGACAAATGTCACGTGATATTGAAAATTCTGATGCTTCAAAATGAAGGTTTAAAAACCAGATGAGTTAATGTTGTCTTTTTAAGATAATTTTGCTCCATCTTGATCAGTTGACACTTATTTTTATAAAATTCAGTTCACTCCAAGCATATGAATACATTCATATCAACAATGATAATATTGAATATTTTTTGCCAATATAAGTACCAAATTGAAAATATGTTTTTACTCATTTTAGTTCCTTTCAAACTAAAAAAACTGCAACAGAGACATTATTACAAAAACTAAAAAATCATTAACAATGTGGTTTTTATTGTACTCTATTTGTACATACTATAGAATTATTAAGTGTTATAGAAAAGAAAGGAAATAATCAACAAAAAATGCTGACTTACTTATTTTTATCCTATTCTAAGATAATCTTTCCTGAGCCATCTACAGAGACATTTTTACCTTGGTTGGGACCCCTTGTCCTTCCAATATGACAACCATCTTCTTCCTCAGTAGAACCACTCCTTGTCCTTCCAATAGCCCACCTCTTCCTTGATAGAAAGTGACGGTTAAGACCCATATTGATCCCATTCTTCATCTTCGTTATCTTTTGGTCTATGAGGCCAATGTTTGGAGGGCCATCATACTGTAGACATCTTATATTCAATAGGGTTAGAGATATAGATAAAATTTTCACATATATGAAAGGGAAAAATATTGATTTTTCAGTAGTTTTGAAAAGTTTAAAGTGTAAATGTAAGAGAAACTTTATAAATATCAAGAGATTGAAACACTTTAAAGATAAATGAGAGAATACATGAAAATTTGGGAGGGAATTGTACAAAAAATTGGGAGGAAGAATTTTAGGGATTTGACATAGTGAAAAACTGGAGTGAATTTTTGGGATTGTGAGGAAATTTTTGGAGTGAAATATAAGGGGTTTTCAGCGTTCTTTTACTAGCCCCTAGGCAAATGACATATTAATTTTAGTGAATGCAAATACAATATTTCTACATGTTGGTATATGTAAGTGCATATCCGGTATGTGTTAGTTGCAAAATATGGTAATAGCATATGCAGTAAGCTATAACTACGGTGAGCACTATATACGGTAAGTTGCATATACGGTAGTCTGCCTGCAAATACGGTAGGCTGCAAATACGGTAAGCTGCTTGTAAATACGGTAAACTACATATATGGTATATTACATATACGATATGCATAATTCTGGTATCTGTGAACAAACCAGGATGTACATTACGTGGATCGAGGCTGAAATGAGGATAAGTTTGATCAAAGTGCTTCCATGCCTCACTAAGTACAGGATGCGACATTTCACCTTGCGTTAATTGGTTCTTTGAATGCCAAATCATGTGCTCTAATGTATGCCTTGACATATACAACCTTTGAAGCCTGGCGGTTAAAGGCAGATTCGTAGCACCTTGTGTGGAACTCTATGCCCTGATCTAGATACATTCTCTTTATACTGTGGACTACTACACTTAGGACATTGTGTCATGTTCTCTGTTTCTCTATAGTACAACACCCAATCATTAATACACGCATTGATCTTCACTATTCCAAGGCCTAGACTAGATAACATTTTCTTTGTTTTATAAAATGTTACTTCTAACTGGTCACCTTCTGAAAAAATTTCCTTAATTATGGACAACATGCGATCATAACACGCTGTAGGCATATTAGATTCAGACTTCAAATTCAAAAGTCTTGCCATTGTCAAAAGTTTGGTATGCTTACTACATCCATGCCAAATAGGTTTGTCGGCTTCTTCCAAGAGTTTAAAGAAATTTGAAGCTTGTTGATTTGGGACATGTTCACAGGAATACACTGATCATGATTGATAAATTTGTTGAACATTTCAGGGCCTATTGCATCCATTACCATATTTTGAAGGGTATAGTTTATTGTAACTTGTGCTACTGAGGATTCACAAACATCTGATGTATGATTAATGAATGGTTAACCATGTGCTATCCATTGCGTATAACCACTTCTAAATCCATTTTTGTAAAGATGAAATCTCACAGCATCTCCTTCTAGAAACCTCCGATTGTCACATTTAGAACAAGGGCACTTAATTTTATTTCCAACTCTTGGTTGTAAAAAGGCAAATTCAATAAACCCTTCAACTCCTTTAATAAATATATCAGAAAGAAAACTATTATCAGCTCGTTCATTGAAACATTTCGAATCAAATTTGTCTAAAATTGCATGCGTGTTTTTTTGTTGGTGCATTTCCAATCAAATTTGACTAAAATTTCACATGAGTTCTATTCATTGACGCGATTCCAATAAAATATGACTAAAATTTCACCAGGGTTTCGTTCATTGGTGTGTATCAAATCAAATTTGATCTACAGTTACTCGAGCAGGTTGCCGACTAAAAAGTGGTCAATCTTCTTGAGATGCAAGTTCTACCCACACATTGTACTCTTCATTCTTTGATTTGATTTCCTGTATATTGGTAACATTTTTTGCTTTTGTTTTCACAACCGCCCACCAATCAAGTCTATCTCTGGTCTTCGAAGGGGAACTCGTGTAATATACTTGTTGAGCTTGATGAGCAAGTATAAATACATCATCTGTAACTAGTTTTTTTTATGATTTATCTCGACAAGACCAAATCGTCGATGCACACTAATCCTACCGTCATTGTCAAACCATTCACATTTGAATAAAGTAAGCTTTTTTTCCAAGTTCTCCTAAATTTCAAGTTCTAGTATTTTAGTTATCAAACCATAGTAGTCAAATTCATAGTCATTAAGATAGCTTCCTAATACGCAAACACTACTATTCATTGTCGTCTTGTGCTTCCCGTAATCTAAAGTATGAAACTTAAAACCGTTTACAAAGTATCTGTTGTAATATCTCATTGTACGAGATGGACCCAAAGCCATAGCTTTTATATGAGGATCAACTATGTTGTTATCATCCAAAACCTGAAGATAAGAAATCATTAGCAGTAGAACATCCGTTTGGAAAATTCTTTGTCAAAGTAGTAAAGATATAAAGTACAACATTACTTACATATTCCCTCAACCAACAAGAAAAACGTTCATCACGTAAACGATCAAACTGTGCCTCAAAAACTTGAGGATAAACCATTTTCATATGTTTATCCAATTGCCTATACAATAATGAGAAACTGTATAAGCAACTACATGTGCCATAAACATGTGAAGGTAGGCATAGATGAGTAGAACTACTTACTCCACAAAAGGTGTGACTTCTTGGCAATTCAAGAGAACATAAAGTGAAGCTGCCTTGAATTCTTTATCTGTCATTAACCTAAAGTTAGAATGTTGGGTACCAAGTGGTCGTTCAGGCGTACTAAAAATTGATAGACATCCTTTGGGATCCAAAAACCCTCCGTCATCATTCCGTGGTACATGATTCAATCTTGTTTCAATATTTTGCTCAAAATATAGTGAGCAAAATGTTGATGTTTCCTCTACAAGGTATGCCTCTACTATAGATGCTTCAACATGAGCTCGATTTTTCACCTTCTTTTTCAAGTGGTGTAGAAACCTGTAGTATAAGTATTAAAATATATTTTCATATTTAATGTTAGAAAAAGATAATATAAAAAGTAAAGTATTAGGACCTCTCAAAAGGATACATCCAACGATATTGCACAGGACCTCCAACTTTAGCTTCATATGCTAAGTGAATAGGCAGATGTTCCATTGAATCAAAAAATGATGGAGGGAAAATCTTTTCAAGCTTGCACAACATGACAACAATGTTTTGTTCTAACCATTCCATATCTTTCACCCTCAAAACAGTAGAGCATATATCTCTAAAAAATGACTTACTTCAGTTAAAACTTCCCAAATTGGTTTAGGCAATACATCTTTAAATGCAATTGGGAGAAATCTCTGCATAAAAATGTGACAATCATGGCTCTCCATTCCGTAGAACTCACAATCACCTTTGATACACCGTGCAATGTTTGACGCATAACCATCAGACATTCTTAATTTTTTAATCCATGTGCAAACTTCTCGTTTTTGCTCCTTAGTTAGGCTATAAGCAACCTTTGGCATATACAATTTTCCTCTTTCATCCTCATATATGTGAAGCTCGAAACGATTACAATAAAGCTCTAAATCCTTTCTGGCCTTGAAATTGTCTTTTGTTTTTCCTTTTATATCCATGACTTTGTTAAAGATATTATCAAATACATTCTTTTCCATGTGCATCACATCTAATTGTGTCTGATGAGATTCGTATACCAATAAGACAACTCCAAAAATATGCTTTTTTTCCAGCCAATTATGGCACAACCAAATCCTTCTATGCCTTGTTTCTTACAAAATTTTCCTCTTGAAATGTTTGGAAGGTTCTCTACATAAATTGCAACTCATCACCAGTTAGCCGAAGTAGTGCCTCATCCTTTTCAACTCTACCTTTATAGAACTTGTCTCGTTGTTTTCTAAAGGCATGTTTGGGTGGCAAGAATCTACAATGTCAATAAAAAAAGACGTCTTTCCTCCATTTTTAAGTGTAAATGATTTAGTTTCACCCATACAATATGGACAAGACTTTAGACCATGTGTACTCCATCCAGACAACATACCATATCCCGAAAAATCACTAATTGTCCACATCGACGCAGCTTTCATATGAAAATTCTGCTTTGCATGCATGTCATATGTTTCAACACCTTCATCCCACAATATTTTTAGCTCATCTATCAAAGGACGCAAATAAACATCAAGATTTTTTCCAGGACTCTTCGGTCCCCGGATAACCATACTAAAAAACATGTTATCTTGTTTCTTGCACATCCAAGGTGGTAGATTATACACAGTCATTATAACTAGCCAACAAGAGTACTGCACATTAGACATGGTAAAAGGATTAAATGCATCCGTGCACAAACCAAGATGTACACTACGTGGATCTAGGCTGAAATAAGGATAAGTTGGATCAATGTGCTTCCATGCCTCACTATGTACAGGATGCGACATTTTACCTTGCATTAATTGGTTCTTTGAATGCCAAATCATTTGCTCTGATTTATGCCTTGACATATACAACCTTTGAAGCCTAAGGGGGTTAAAGGTTGATATCGCAGCACCTTGTGTGGAACTCTATGCCTTGATCGAGATACCTTTTCTTTATACTGTGGACTACCACACTTAGGATATTATGTCATGTTCTCTGTTTCTCTATAGTACAACATGCAATCATTAATACAAGCATTGATCTTCACTACTCCAAGGCCAAGACTACAACATTTTCTTTGTTTTACAAAATTTTACTTCTAACTAACCTTCCGGCAAAATTTCCTTAATTATGGACAATATGCGATCATAACAAGCTATAGGTATATTAGATTCAGACTTCAAATTCTAGAGTCTTGCTATTGTCGAAAGTTTGGTATGCTTACTATATCCAAGCCAAATAGGTTTGTCAGCTTCTTCCAAGAGTTTAAAGAAATTTGAAGCCTGTTGATTTGGGACATGTTCCACAGGAATACACTGATTTTAAATAACAATGCTAAAACTGGCGTCATATAATTCCAAAATCAACTAGTATTCTTCCAACACAGGTGAAAGTTACACACCCATTTTGAGATATTTGGCAGCTTCCATCTGCCATAATGTCCATTAGGTATGCCATTAATCATTAAATAGTCATTAACGCCTGGAATCATTCAAAGATGCAGGCAAACAGCCGCAAGCCATGACAAATAATTCATGCTTCATAATCCCAAAAGGTCACAAGATTTAAGAAATGAAAGATTTACAGTCACTTTCATTTTGGTGGAGCATAAAGTCAAATAATAAAGCAGCCACTATATTCCTTTAGTGACTAGGTTCATGCAATTGAAACATATATATTCACAGTTTACCGCATGTATACAATTTTTAATGTTTAGTGCCTTTTATTGGTTTCAGCCTTTTCCCAGATTTCACATATGCAACCAATTATGCATAATTAAATTCTCATGATTTATTTCTAACAAACAACTTTTCCATCAGACATGTACCATTGCAAATTAGCCGAAAAGAAAACTGAATTCTGCAATCATAATTCTTATTTCCAGAAATTTAATCTCATGCTATGACAGAATTCAAAGACCGAAATTATGCATACACGTGCCAAAACTGTTTAGACAATAAACGTATAACAAATGAAATTTCTTATATGATTATTATTCATCAGCCACCACAATTGTTTGCATTTAAAATGAAAGATCACCATTATTTACCATATATAAATGGAAGGCATAATTTTATAACAGATCTTATGCATTTCCACGGTCATGTATATTTCAAAAATAATAGCCACCATAACTGATTTAAATTGCATATAAAATGAAAAATTATTTCAAAAAAAACCAACTGGTTTTATGAAAAATACGCACTGGACTTGCAACCATTCATTTGATATATAATACTTCACTTTCATCATCATTCTTTCATGGCCATTTCATCATTTAATTTTGAACCCACTCAATAATCCTGGTATCTTTAATGCAGTCCCGACATCAAAGATGCCATCACACTGTTTGAGATATAACCAGGTCCAGATTACAACAATTTAAAAGATTGATGTCATGCGCACAATGCAAGTCAAATACGAATATACAATCATATTTGGAAAATGCAAAAAATGATAATTTACCAAATCCAAGTGCAAGAATCTGGATTCATGTCTTTCTTCCAATCGAACCATCTTGTGAAGTTCGTCCCATCAAATGATCCACACGAAAAAGAATCTCGATCCATCAACTTGATCATAGCCAAAGTGGTTTCATTCTCCATCGTCCAAATATCGTTTGAGATTGTTGGAAAATTATTGCCACCGGGGTTATGGAGAAAAAATCTTATAGAAAAGTGACCAATAAGATGAAATAAACGGGAAGAACAAACCGAATATGAAAGGCTCAAACACGACATTATATCGTTGTCCTCAAATGATATTTGTCCCCTCTCGATAATAATTTTGGTGCTCAAAGGGTCTCGTGGCAAATGGTTTGAAGGATTGACCAAGCCTTGTTGTAGAAAATCACAAAAACACAAATGATTTTCTACTCGAACTTCAAGAACACTAAGGGAATTTGAATATGGATGAAGAAGACTTTGGTTTCTTCTTGTGAAATGAAAGAATGTTCATCATATGTTTGTAATATGATTTTTTAATAATTAGAATGATGATTAACCACCTATTTATAGCTTTGAAACATTGCTATACGAAGTGGTGCCAAAGTACAAGTTAAAGGCCGCCAAATTTGAATCAAAATCCGCCTCCAATGGCACCCATGCGGTCGCATGGTAGTTTTTTTTTTTTTTTTTTTTTTGCCATTGGAGGCGGTTTTTGATTCAAATTTGGCGGTATGCGGTCGCATGGTTTTCACAAAATCCGGCCTCCAAGTTTCGATTAAAGGCTATGCGACCGCATGGCCCGTTGGCCTATGCAGTCACATAGGCCAAAGTATTGGCTCCCACCTCCTCTTTATTTCCACACATGTGTTTATTGATTTATTGAACAACATTTTCCATCAGTAGGTACCGTGCAGGGGACTACACAGGCGAGAGAGAGTAGTGGTGGGGCATTAGGCTGTTCGGGAATATATTCGGCAAGTCCGGTGGTGGGGATGGATGATGGATCCTAGATAGCCGTTATTCGATGAAAATTCACAAGCGTACAAGATCGTTGACAAGTAATAATGTAGGGAGTTTAGTTATCGTTCTACGAGGAATAACGTCCAACTATAGTATACTAGTTCTAATCAAATTCGAGCAATGTGACACAAATGAGTTGTTGTTTTGTAATTTTCGTAAAATAAACTAAGAATGCTATAAAGATTTGGATTTTTTTTTTTATCAATTAATGAGATGTATGTATTGAATTTCAGAATTCACCTATTAATCTCTATTTTCAATTATAGACTCGTGTAAATTAACATTCTTCGAGTATTCATGATAATCAATAATTCATTAATATCTAATATTCATTTTCGAGATATATTAAATCTATCCTAAGCATGACCGTACCCTATTCATAATCTGAATTCCTATGCAAAGCAAGCATTCAATCAGGTGATTATCACAAACGATTGCATAAGACATAAATGTCATTTCTAACACCTACTATGTCAAATATAAAATGTTCTACTTATTGTGAGTCTCCAAACACTATAAATAAGTAACCAATTTGTATAAATGGTGATCAAGTATTCAAACAATACAATACTCCTACATATTTATTCAAGAACACAAGAATCAACTAAAATTACTCAAGTATTGAATTGAAAATATTAATTAAAAGGTTTCATAACTTATCCAATACACATAAAACATAGCCTAACATTGTCATTTCCAAATTATACAAAAAAATATGAAAGGCATCACCCGAAGTAAAGAAATCAACCAAGAACTTAAAAACTCAATTTCTTGTAATTCAATCTTCAATCCGAGATTTGTACCTTCAAATCTTGATGTAAATTTACTTATTCCTCTTACTAGACTCAAACTACGATAAAAACTAGGTTGTGGATGTTTTGGAGCAAGCTTAGGTTATATAGAATGCAAAAGTAAATCAATTCAATACTTGCCAAACAAAGAAAATGAAACAAGATTTTCTTCCAGGCATTTACTAGTTGAGGGTGAGTCACACACCTAGAAATGAGAATTTAGCTTCAGACAAGATGGTTTGGAGTGAGCCATGCGCTTTGTACAAACTGGGCGTGCGCAATTTTATCTTTGAGGAGCGATCAATGTTTTTATCATATCTTTCTTTTTTAATTACGATTGAGGTGATTCAATGTACGTTGGAATGCTAATTCAAAATGTAATAATTCTTCTAGAAGAAACATTTTTTTTCAATTTGAACGTTTGCTATGTCAAATATGAGTCTCAATGAAAATTTGAAGCACAACCTTTTCGGTTGAAAATTTGGTTTGTGAGAGTACTTTGACTATATTTCACCTTTTTTACTTCTTTTTTCATCTAAGCGAGTACTAATACTCTCAAATCTTCATTGTGAAGTCCTACACAACTTTGGAGTATTTTCACTTTAGTCCTTGAATTTGTATCTTTTAGAATTGAGCCATTTTCACACTTTTTTCTCCAATTTCACCATTTACGTTGATTTGTTCATAACAAATACAATACATATAGAGTTAAGCCATAATTCATCAAAATAACCAATAAATACTCTTAACTTAAAGGTCCAAATAAATGTATAAAATACACTTAGAAGCCGTCAACATGGTGGTTCCAAATACATTTCGTGAACTGATGGAGAAAAGTTGGTCTGCAAGGATAATCTCGAAGGCACGTTGCAACCAAGAGGCACTACTGGCAAGTTCATAAATTGAATCAAATATTTCTGATTATTTGATTAAATATGAAATATGCTAATAGAGTGTCCACAATCTGCACTGAATGTGCGCATGCGAGTGAGGTGAGATTAGAGGCTCCACCTTTCTATTTGAGCACTAGGAATTATGTTGGAAACACTTTTGATTACTTTTATTTGGACTAGGATGAAGTCATGAACTTGTAGTACAATAATAACTAAACTCTACAAATGATGAGTATGTCTAGAATGAACGAAATTTGTTTCTCTAGTTCTTACATTGTGTACCCCAAACAGAATAAGTTTAAGTTTTTCACATTTTTAGCTGTATGTATGTAATATGTTTTTTTTTTCCTTATGTTTTTTAATGAAACACGCCACATCTAGCGGTTTAAAATAAAATTGTGCATAGTTAGTTTGAAAATTTTATTAATAAGTAGCTTTTAAAATAAATTATCAGTTTGTTTTCCAAATTCTAGAAAAATTAACGACTTATATTAAGAGTAATTTTACCATGTCAAGATTGTGTTGCCCTTATTTCTTTAACTTGGTCCCCCGAACTTCTTACCACTGGCCCTTTGAACTCCTTCCAAAACACTTGGCTACTATAATTCACATTGTTCAGATTTTTAAAGAATACAAATCTCTCGAATTTAAT